AGAGGTCGCCCCCAAGGAGGAGCCAGTGGGCCAGATCCAGACCCAGCCGGAGGAGGAGGAGCAGGAGCCAGGGACCATCACCCTGTCCCTTGAGCCAGTCCCTGCCAGCCAGGATGTCTCCCAGGCCTCCTTGGCTGCTTGGGAGGGATATTCAGGTGAGTTGGCACACACACAAATACACACACACAGGGCAGGGGAGGCAGGCGCACAGGGAGCGGGGGGCACAGTGTAGCTCGGGCAGCAGGTGGTGCTGCAGTCTGTGCACGTTCAATCACGTGCAGCGGGAGGGTGCGGCACACGGGCACAGCAGGCAGCCCCTGAACATAGCCGGGATCCTGCTGCCAGCCTCATGCGTGGGCACACATGTCCTGCCCCCAGAGGGAAGGAGGGCATGCCCAGCTGCAAGCAAGCTAACTGCAGGGCGCAGGCGTGACCCTACTCACACTCCAGAGTGCTGCACACAGCACACAGGCATGCCTGCACATGTGAGGCAGCAGCCACTCCCACAGACAGCACAGTGAGCCACAGCTGTGTGTGCAGACCCCAGGGAGGGCCAGGCTGCTCCCAGCTCCTCTGCTGCCCATGAGGGCATCCCACTGTGGTCAAGGTACATAGCTCCAAAAAGGTGGCCTTCCACATAGGGAAGTTTTGGAGCCACTGCTGGTTGTCCCACCATTCCATGACCAGCTGGTCCCACCAGTCTAAACTGTCTCCAGCCTCCAGAACCTTCTGTGAATGGTGGGGTGCAGCAGCCAGAGTGGAGCAGCCACAGCCACGCAGAGGACGAGGAGGGGGAGTTCTGAGTCCACATCTAGCATGAATATGTAGGCAGCTGGAAGAAGATGCTGCAGGAACTGCAGCTTGGCCATGTGGGGCTGTCGCCTGCTCAGGGGCAGCTCCGGCTCCATAGCACACAGCAGGAAAAAGCTGTGGCATACCCAAAAAGAACAGGGCAACCACTGCAGGCACTGCTGATACATTGCTGTCCCTCAATGGAGGTCCTGAAGCAGGCAGCAGAAATAGAGAAACGGATGTCTAGGAGGTCCCTTTAAGCGCATGTTTCTGCAGGTCTCTAGCAACAGCACTTGAGAACAACTGGTGACCTAAAGCCCAGCTAGAACTGGTTCTGGGTGGTTTTATATGCAAGAGAGCATCCAATGAGTGTGTCAAAAGCTTTTGAAATGCGCTTTTTTAATGTGGATGTGCTTTTGCACAAGAAGCCTGCAACTGTAGACGTAGCCTTAGAGCTCTCTGGGGCTATCTGTTTTGTGATTAGCACATAGCAAAGTGAGGTCCTGACTCATGACTAGAGTGTCCAGTTGCAGCTTCAGTACAAACTATACATAATAATAATTTGCCTGTCCTCTCCCCACCTCCAACTCTTTATTCAAGTGTGTCTAGACTGCAGGCTTTACCTGTGTCTAGACTGTCGCCGCATTCTGTCAACAGTAAATCGAAAGAACGTAGCGGTTTTGTCGATGGCAGTAAACCTCATTTTACGAGGAATAACGCCTTTTTCGACAGAGATCTGTTGAAAGTAGGTGTATTTGGACGTGGGGGAGCCTGTTCTGTCAAAAAAAAAGGGCCTCCAGGAAGAAGCCCTGGTGGACAGCCCGTCCTTACATACTGAGCGCCTCTATTGTTTCTGTCCACAGTCTCTTAAAGGCACTGGCACCCAGACAGGCATTGCTGTCAGGAAGCCAGCCAGAGCACCCATGCCAGCTGTACTAGCCATGTCCCAGCCTTCTCGGGGCAGTGAAGAGGACCCACCCAGGGGCTCCAAAAGGTGGGCACCAGCCTAGTCAGGGCCTGAAATAAAACATCTCCTGGAGCTCTGATCTCAGGAGGAATCCTCACAGGCCCTGCAGTCACACCGCAGGAACACAGACACATATGAGTGCATGGTCCAGGGACTGGCCAAGAAAGGGCATCACCCCTGCACCCTGGACCAAGTGAGGGCCAAGGTAAAAAGTATGGCAGGGGGCTGCACAGGCCCAAGACAACAGCTCCCACTCTGGGGCAGCCCCACAGAGCTGCCAATATTATGCAGACCTGGAGCAGATTCTGGGCAGTCTTGTGGGTTCCTGGTTACCGCACCATATTGTGGACCAACCCCTGAGGGAGGATGAGCAGGAAGGAGGGACAGGAGAGCTGCACCGGGAGGAGGAGGAAGAGACAGCAGTGACCCTATCACAGGAGCCGGTCCTCCAGACCCCAGAGGCCTCCCAGGCGTCTTCAGACATGGGGGAGGAAACATCAGGTGAGTGCTTTGAGGGGTCACCACACATGGCCGGGTTGGCAGTGTGGGGGCCATCTGGTCCCATTGCCACAGTGGGGGCCCTGTGATGCTCAGGCTGCTCCCCAACTCACACACAGTGTCACATGTAAAACCTCTGACTCTCCTGTCCCAAGGAGAGCCCCTTACACTGACGGCATGCCCTCGGGGACAGCGGGTGCATACAGACATGATTGTTTCTTCCTCTTTTCCTCCACAGCCAGACCCCCTATGCAAGAGGGTAGCACCATACCCGCCCCACCACAATCCCGGACACGTGGCACCCGCAGGCACTGGCATGTATACATGGGCCTTCTGAAAGAGCACGTAATGGCCCTGCAGGACCTCAACAGGACCTTCAGGAGACGATGGAGGCAGAGGCCGAGTGGTACAACAGGCTGCTGGATGAGCTGGTCCAGTACCGCAGTTCAATCTGTGCCACTGTGTGGGAGGTCCTGCCCCTGTCACTGGCTCCGCTCCTCTTCTCACTTCTCTCTGCACACCAGGACCCTTCTTCCCAAACCCCTCCTGCTCCCCCAGCCCCCTCTACTCCCCCAGCCCCTCCTGCTCCCGAGCCCTCACAGACCCAACAGCTGCCCCCCCGCCCCATCCAGTCCAGGACTGGCTCTTGCTACACCCACCTCCAGGGCCATGGCGGTGCCAGGTTGCAAGGTAGCAGGACCCTGCAATCAGGGAAGCAGCAGCCTACTTGAGCTCCCCTCCCCCATCCAGGTTTTCAGCCCCCTACCACCCCAGTGAAAGAACATTTCAGTTATGTAACAAAATCTTTCTTTTTGGGTGAAACATGTAGCTTGTTTATAAACATTTGAACAGTAAAAAGAGAAAGTTTTTTTAAACAGTTAGCACATTTTCTTTACTGATATTGTTTCTAATAAACACCCGGTTTTCTTTGGAAACAGATATTGGCTTTTTATGTATTCTTTATGGGAAGAGGGTGAGGGTTGTGGAGGGAAAGGTAGGGGTGGGCCAGGCCACACCTCTCCATAGGAAAGGCCCTGGGGAGAGTTAGTGGGCTCTTTCAGAGAATCTCTCCCTCAGGGCCTCTCGGATGCGAAGACCAGACTGGTGAGCCTGGCGGATGGCAGCTGTCTGGGGCCACTTGAATTGTCTCCCCTCTCCATCAGCAGCTGTCCCCCACCCCAGCAGGAAGGCCTCCCTTTTTCTCTCCACAAGGTTATGGAGCACGCAACATGTGGCCATCACCTTGGGGATGTTGCGTTCGCCCATTTCCAGCCGTGTCAGGAGGCAACGGAACCTCCCTTTCAAGCAGCCAAACACGCATTCCACCTGCATGCGAGCCTGGCTAAGATGCATGTTGAGAAGCTCCTTGCTTGCATCCAGGTGGACGGTGTAGGGCTCCATGAGCCATGGCATCAGGAAGAAGGCCACATTGGCCACGATGCACACCAGCATCTGCAAGTCTCCAAGCGCGACATCCCACTGTAGGAAAAATGTTCCTGCCTGCAAACTGCGGTACAGGTAGGAGTTGCGGAAGATGCGGGCATCATGTGCCCGCCCCAACCACCTGACACAAATGTCCATAAACTGTCCCCAGTGGTCGACCAGGGCCTGCAACGCCATAGAAAGGTAGCCCTTGTGATTAATAGATTGGGCTGCTCAATGAGATGGTGCGCGGATTGGGATGTGTGTCCCATCGAGGGCTCCTCTGCAGTTAGGGAAGCCAAGCCCAGCAAAGCCAACAACGATGGTGTCCAGGTCTCCCAGATGCATGAGCCTCTTCAGCAGCTCCTCATTGATGGCCCTCACCACCTGCAGAAAGAGACAACAGACAAAAACCAAGGAGTTAGACAGGGTACCTAGGACCTTGGGAGGAGAATGCTGCAGCTTGGGGCCATCGCCTGCCCAGGGGCAGCTCCGGCTCCATGGCCAAAAAAACCAATGAAAAACAGAAAAACCAACCAGAAAAGAAACAGCTCTGGTGTCCAAGAAAGCAGGGCAACCAGAGCAAACACTGCAGCTGCTTTGCTGTCCCTCTAGGAGGTAGGCAAGCCAGAAGCAGCAGCAGAGCAATGGCTGTCCAGGGGTATCCCTTTAAGCATGCGTCTCTGCAAAGGGCATGCAGCAGCACCAGGAAGTAAATGCTGCCACCATGCCCTGCCAGAAGTAGTTTCGGGTGCCTTTTTTCTCCGGGCAGTCTGGACGCTCTTTTTTGAAAAAGCGGATCACTTTTTCGATCCGCATAATGCAATCTAGACATGTTTTTTGAAAGAAGCTTTTTCAAAAGAATTTTTCAAAAAAGTTTCTTTCAAAAAAAGCATGTAGTCTAGATGTAGCCTCAGTTTGCATGAATCTGTGAATGACATTTTGGGTATGTGATTAATTAATCTCTAACTTTAAAAAACATCCCTAGCTCTCCCACAAGGAGGAGGGCAGGGGGACAGAGCCTCAGCTGATGTTAGTTGTCACCTCTGTTGACTTTAATGAAGCAATGATGATTTATACTTGCTGAGAATCTACCCCACAAAGCCAGAGTATTCTCTTACTTACACTGTGGGACACTTGTGAAGTACATTTGATTTCAGTGGTGTTATTCCTGATTTGCATGGGTGTAAAAGAAGAGTCAAGCTCATGCTTTTTTCTAATATAAACAAAGTTTGTACGAGAATTACAATTACCTTGTGTAGATGCCTTTAAAAAATAAATACACTGAAAGCACAAACAACAATGATGCCTTCTTTCAAATAATACCTGTGGTTTCTGCCTACAGGTCTGGGTGGATGCTGGCACACAGATATTTTTCTCTTATGCTATCTGCCTGGGATGCTTGACAGCTCTGGGGAGTTACAACAACTATAATAACAACTGCTACAGGTAACACATTCTTCTTACATTTGCTATTAATGTAGGCCTCAATGTTGCAAACACCTATTTGCTTAGCTTCATTCATATGAGTAACTTGTGTCAATGGAAATACTCTCATGTAAAAAGTTAAGCACACGCATGCATGTTTGTAGTATCCAGGCCTTATTTGATTAACAGTAGTCTGTGGGAGGGTTTGCTTTCCAAGTTCTGTGCATGGAGGTCTGATTTGTGTGACTCTCATGCATGCCCGTGGGCACTGCACAGCCTCAGTCACCCATAAAGGTATTAGAACATGAAATCTTATTGGAGTAATGCTATTTTAAAGCACTTGTAAAAGTCATACTGAAATATGTTATTCTAAAAAATCTCCTGTTTAAAAAAAAGTGTGACTTACTCTTGGGATGCTGTTCTTCTTGAAATTTTACTGGATACTAAGTAAAGCACAATAAAAGGGCCTAATATATCACTAGTATTCTCTATTGAAATCAATGGGGCTATGTCTACACTGCAGGCTTCTTGCGCAAGAACTGGTTTGCACAAGAGCATGTCCACACTGCCATGTGCTTTTGCGCAAGAGCATCCATGGCAGTGTGAACGCTTTCTTGCGCAAGAAAGCTCTGATGGCCATTTTAGCTACGGGGGTTTCTTACACAAGAAACCCCTGTTGCCCGTCCACACTGCCTTCTTGTGCAAGAGCTCTTATGTGCTTAACTATGTACAAGAGCTCTCTCACAAGAGAGCTTATTCCTCATGGGAAAAGGAATAACTCTTGTGCAAGAAGCCCTCTCTTCTGATGCTTTACTGTAAATTTACTTGCATAAGAATGTGTGTACAGTGTAGACACTCTGCAAGTTTTTGCGCAAGAACAATTGTTCTTGTGCAAAAAGCCTGCAGTGTAGTCATAGCCCGGGAGTTTTGCTCTTGAGTTCGATGGGTCTTAAGATCATGTTTAAGTGCTTTTCTGAATCAGTGTCCAAGGGAGATATGTTCCCACTTAGGGGTGCTGGAACTAGGTGTGCTGGGGCTGTGGATGCACCATGTGACTTGAAGTGATTTATGTCATATACAGGGTTTACAGTTTTATTCAATGACTCTCAGAACCTTCGTGATACAAATTGTTCCAACACTCCAGTGGGCCAGTCACTTGTCATACACAGACCAAGACACGTCATCTTTCTAAACTGAACTCCTTACACTATTTCCCCAATCATGAATTGTTTATGTTAATTAGACAGTTAATTCGTGGGACAGCACTAAAGTGGGTTTTTTCAGTGTACTAGGCCATAATATTGGTCTTGAGGAAATGGTCACAATTCAGCACAGTTTGAATAATATTAAAGAGAGAGAATGTAACAATATCTTACCTCCATAGAGTGGCATCTAAAATGCTGTCTCAGGGTATGTCTACACTACAAAGTTAGTTCGAACTAACGGACGTTAGTTCGAACTAACTTTCATAGGCGTTACACTAGCGCTTTGTTAGTTCGAATTTAATTCGAACTAACGGAGCGTTTAGTTCGAACTAGGTAATCCTCATTCCACGAGGATTAAGCCTAGTTCGAATTTACTAGTTTGAATTAAGGGCTGTGTAGACCCTTACTTCGAACTAGTGGGAGGCTAGCCCTCCCCAGGTTTCCCTGGTGGCCACTCTGGCCAACACCAGGGAAACTCTACTGCCCCCCTCCCGGCCCCGGACCCCTTAAAGGGGCACGGGCTGGCTATGGTGCCCGTGCCAGGTGCAAGCCTGCCAGCACCCAGCCAGCAGACCCTGCA